CAGAATGAATTTTTCTGGCCAGAGGGCAAGAATGCTGAAGAAAATCCTTCTCCTGAGGTTTGTGGGGTATTTGGGTCACAGTGACCCACTTATGTAGATTTTTCATTTTTGCCGATCTTCCAATTTTTTTTTCAAACTCCAGTTACAATGAAACATAAACTTTGGCATAGGCTGAACTCACCTGACTACCTTCTATTTATCCACCCCACCCCACTGCCCAGGTGTCACCTCTCCTGAGTGTATTGGGAAGACATGGGGATGGCTCTCATCCCTCTTATGTTGACTTCTTGGGGGTTTTGTCTCCAGATCCTGGAGTCCTTTCACCTCTCCCATCACTGCTGTGACAAATCACACACCACTCTACTGACGGTCACCTCCTGGAGCTTGGCGTCTACAGTCCCTCGTGATACAATGCAACTACCTTGGGTTCAAAGGGTGAATGTGGAACCAGCCACACTTCCCTTTCTGCCTCGTTCCTTGTGCCACATGACCACGAGGCTATGTGGATGAAGCAGATTCACCAGATGGTAGGGCTAATTAAATGCACTTACAATGTGGGAGTAAATAAAAGGTAAAATTATATATCCAAGTCAGCCTTACTCACACTAGAATAAAAGCCACAGAGGACTTGGGAACAGGGGTGGGTGGAAGAGTCAGCCTGAGTAGGAGAATCTTGGGTGGGCTTTGCAATTCCGATTCGGGCTTCTGAGACCTCCCAGCCAGGTCTGAAGATGCCTCCTCTCCTTAACAACACACATCTCCCAAAGACAGTGTTCAGAAAGAGTAAAGTCTAGATTACTGTAAAAGAAGAGAAACATTTCTCTAAATGCAATGAAGCCTGAACAACTCTCTGCCCACCAATGGGGCTATGGTTTAATTTTCCTTCTACTTCTGAACAATGGCCTAAGGAAAAAAAAAAAAAAAAAAAAAAAAAGGGGATTCAGGGGTCCCTGATGTTCCTTCAGCCTTGGGCTATACAAAAGACCTGGCTGAAGTTCCGGAATGACCACTGCCCTGTACCTGGAGCCTGTATACATCTCTACACAGGACGCCTCACAGGACTCTGTACAAGCAGGAGGGAAACAGAGTGACTTATTGGCTTCCTGTCTAAGCAACTGACTTTTCCAGTTGCATTAAGGAAACCAAGGTTCAAGCAGCCTCTGTAGATGCACTTTCCAGAACTAATTTCCACTGCTTTTATATGAGCACCCTTTCCATAAAAAGTGCAAGACTTTTCTCTCTAAACCTGTAGTTCTCAAGTGGGGGTGATTTTGGCCTCCAGGGAACATTTAACAATGTCTGGAGACATTTTTGGTTGTCACAGTGGCAGGGGGGGGGGGGGGGGGGGG